CAGAATTGGGATAGCCTAGTGGGTAAAATTCAGCTAGTCAGGAGGAACTTAGAAATTAGGTTATTACAAGCAGCTCTAGAGTCTGTATAAGAAAATCAAGTAAGTGAGGAATTGCATTTAGGTACCCTGGGTGGAGTGTTGGGATAAGGGAAGCTGGTGCATCCAGAGTTGTGCTTTCCCATACAGTAGCCATTACTGTCTGACTATTTAATTTAAACTTAAATTAATCAAAATAAGTTAAATTTGAAATTAATTCCTCAGTTGCATTAGCTACATTTCAAGTGCTCAGTAGTCACTGCTATATTGGACAGTACATATTCTCTACTGTTCTGTAACATCCGTAAATGTTCTGTAACATTTCCATCATCGCAGAAAATACTGTGTCACAGAAGGTATAAGATCTAGAACCCTGGAGAGTAGATAACAAGGAACAAGAATTCAAGATAGGCAACAAAATAACAAAGACTTTGGTAATGAGACTGAGCAACATGAATCCAGACAAGGAGTTTAGGTGTTAAGCAAAGTGACACAGCTGAAAGAACAGAATTTACTCTTTTGTCAAAGGCCTACTAAAGCCCTTGGAGGAATTATTTAAGTATGAGTAACACAACCCAAACTGGTATCTGTGTTAAATTGTGTACTATAGCCCCATTATGTGATAAATGGTTTCGGGGTGGGGTGGGGAGGTGTTATTGAAAAGATTTCATGGGGCAGGAGTGAGGTGACCTAGGCTGTGAAAGATTATTACTAGATTGTATGTGATGGTGATTGGAATATTGAATGCCTGTCCTCTGTTTCTCATGTTACTGCCCTTCCATACCATTTAAGATATAAAAGTATGCATCTTGATGATAATGGTTGCAGTCCTACAGTGCTTAGGTATATTGCACCATCTCTTTTTATATATTAAGAGCATAAGATAAAAGGCAAACAACTGTTTTTTTCAAACTGAGCCAGAAAAGAATAAAATCTCTAATCTTGGATTTCATTGTGTTGAATTCTTTTGGATTCCTTAAGCACGTATGACTCAGATTGTGGACAGAATGTGCATTGAAAACAATGGAAACATATATGAGGATACGATCCCAGATACCTGGGATGGTGTTAATGTGTTTGCAGCACAGAGCCGTTTTGGTTAGACGATTATAATAGCAGCTTACTTATACTTTTGGTGAGATGGTAAGCTAATGATGTAGCTGTTAATTTGAATTTAGCAGACATTTTAAATATAGGTTTCTCTTACAGAGACAAAAGTTGCAATTTAAAGCTCTTTGGTGGTCTAAAAACAGCTTAATTCTGTAGTAGCATGGTAATAAGTACTAATCCAGCTTATACAGTGATTGTAGTATGTCATGTTTGTGAAAGATTGCCCAACTGCTTTCTCTGGGTTTTATGTTAATTTAAAAATATTAAACATAAAACCTTATAACATCTTCATGCTGAGATAAACTGTTCAATTTAACTTGTGCTCAAGCAGCAGCTGTCAGGAATTATCTTGTTCCTAGTGGTTTTTGCTATCACCTTGTGCCCTTTCCTGCCAGAGACGCAGTGTGGGATGATAAAGCTCACCTTGTTAGGATTTATTGCTTAAATAACACCTAAGGCAAGATGAACATTGGGAGACTAGGAATTAGATGCTGATTGAGTGATGTTGTTCATTGTATTATTATAAATTTTTTTTAGTTGATGGAACATGGCAAAGTAAAAATTGCCTGTGAATCATATCTGCATTCCTTTTGTGGGCATGTTCATCGCTTCTTTTTTGGTGTCATTGAGCTAAATATTTGAGGAATTGCTTATTGTCCAATTTAAGTACCATATTATAAATTAAAAAGCAAAGGGAAATATTTTACTAATGATGGAGATAATTTCCACAATTTAGAAGTAGTGAGGGCTATTTCAATATTAGTTATAAAAATAAAATGAATTTCCTGTTAATGATCGAACAAACTGAAGGAAGTGGTGGTGTGGGCAGTCCCAAATGGTTAATAGTGCAAATATCATTGCCATTTCACTTCTGAATGTATTGCGTTCTTTCATTTGGTAGATTTTATTTAGAATGCTCAACTTTAGATTTGGATTTCTTGATTTCAGATCAGCTGGTTGGTAGGATAAGGAGAGGAGGTATGTGGTAGGAGTAGAGTGTAGGGCTCCCTTGGTTGAACATTTGCTACAGATGGTTCACCCTGAGAATGGTTCTCATGGAGGAAATGAACAATTGGATTATGACTAGGAATGCATATATGATGGATTTATTTTAGATGGAATGTAACATATTTTTCTCTTCTACTTACACTATTTAATGAATATTCCCCTAAATTCATAATTTTTTAAATGTATAACTCAACAAAATTTGCAAGACTAGATCAATGAATTACAATATACCATTAAGTTAGATCTATCGATTATTAACATTTTGCACATTTTTTATTTCTTTCCATGTCAATATATGCATATGAATATTTATTATTAGTAGCCTTTTTGACTGAAACATTTAAGAATTAGTTGCAGACATCATGACACTTCACACATAAATAATTCAACATATTTTTCTTAAGACTAAGGATGTTTTCCTACATAACGGCAATAAAATTATTACACTTAAGAGATTTAAGATTGATAAAAGTTTACAATCTTATATTCAGTCCATGTTCAGAGTTTCCCTATTGCCTTTATAATGTCCATTATAGCTGTTTTTTCCCTATGCAGTTTCCAGTCAAGGATCACAGGTTGCATTTTGTTTTGAGGTCTCTTTATTTTCCTTTAATCTAAGGTTTTTTTTTTTTTTTTTGACATTGACATTTTTGGAGATCCAGCCCAGTTATTTTGCAGAATATTTGTCTGATTGTTTTTTCATGACCAAATTCAGATCAGGCATTTTTGGCAGAAATACTATTTTGGTGATTTGTATCTTTCTCATTGTATCACATTGGGAAATACATTATATCACTTTGTCCTATTACTGATCATATTAAGTTTAGTTGCTTGAATAAGTTGATGTCTACCACATTTCTCTATTATAAAGGTACCATTTTTTCTCATTCATAATTAATAAGTAATATGGGGGGGCTGCATTTAATGAATTTTTCTGCCTTGTGTGTGAAAAACATTGTGCTTGCTCAGGTCTTAATGATAAAGAATGAGTCATTGCTTGCGATAGTATGTTGGGGGAGGGGAGTGAGGCTAGAGGGAGAGGTAGGAGCGTTACTCAATAACTAGACCCACAAGTTGCCATCCATTTTCTTTTAAGGAGAATATTGATTGATTGAGATTAATATTTTATTTTTCTCTCTACTAAGGATCAGGTTTGTAGATAAGCAAATATCTTCATATTTCAGAATTTTCAATCTAAGTTTTAGAAAGTTTTATACTTCATGGTGGTGGGAATATTTTTGGACCAAATAGGGCATTATCTGACCATAATTTTTCTGTTTGCTTTTGTTTTGCACAAATAGATGATTTAAAAAATGAGTGCATCTCCTTGGTAAGATTTTTTTACGTTAAAGCAATAAACCATGACCTTAATACAGCAATGTGGGTTTAAAGAGAGATCGCTGCTTTTTGGTCTTATGTGCCCTCTTTAGCCCGTGAAGAAGACACTTGAATTCCTATTTATGATATATGCACTTACTATGTAATCATTCTTCTTATGTGAAAGGCTAGTGCTGCAGATCATATAAACACCTGAAGTTAGCCATTTGGCTTGTCAGCATGGGAGAATTTATGGTAGCTGTAATCATGGTAATAACAAGGGTGATATTTTGTATTTATTAAGTACAGAAAAAAGCATTTGCAATGTAAGTGGTCCACAACCAACTCATATCCGTGGTGCAATGGAAAGCACTTCAGGCTTAGAAGAACAGGAGTCCCTGCTTCGCCACTTTCTACCAGTGTGATTCTAGAAAAACTCTTAACCTTCTTGAACCTCATTTTTTAGAATGGGAATTAAAGCTGTAAGGGTCAAATGATGCTACATTATGTTATAAAAGTGGCATCCATCAAAATTGTGCCATCTAAATGTCCTCAGCTGCTCAGGGACTGTAATTTGTCCCTCTTTTGTGTCCATACATGGTAGGCACCTTGTTAGTGAAACATTTCCAGGTTGTCTCAGACATTATTACTCCATTATGTTTGTTCCTCTGATACTTTGTATCTGTCACTATTACAGGCAGCATTCATCCTGGTGGGTTGTCTTGTTCGTCTTTTCTGTTCTTCCTGGTTAGACCTTGGCACATGGTACACATTTAGTAAATGTTTGTGGAATGAGTGAATAAATAGAAATTGTTTCATTTATAAACATGAACAAGTAAGCTTTCAGTTTCCTTTTTCCCCCAAAGAAAAGGAATCAACCTTTCTTCATTTTTTTTTTATATTTTTGTTTTATATAAGGAGTTTTACAGATTGTATATTGGTGCCATTAGCAGTCCAATAATGGAGTAGAAAACATTAAAAAAACACAAGTATTGCAGAATAGTTAAAAAACGAGGTGGGGAGGGACAGTGAGAAAACATGCCAGGAGGAAAAGACCACACTAGATAAGTCTACTGCATAAATCAAAAGGGTTTATGTCATAACATGAACATGTGCCATTCCTGCTCATATATTGAATTTCAGTAGTCGGTTGCATAAAGGAGTAAAGTGTAATGAAACTGGCAAGCAGAGTATTCCCCAGTCAGCCTTATCTTTGTTCCATTTGTCCTTCAGATAGAGCTTTTCTTGCCTTTTTCAATAAAATCCATCCAGCTTTTTTTATTTTGCATCTCTCAGTAGCTGAGCTGAGAACAACCAATGTGATTCGGAGCTTTTATAGTTCTTAGCAGCTGCTTTTTAAGAGATCAAAACTTAGAATGCTGCTACATGGTATTAAGGCTTAACTATTGATGTGTCCCTATAGGGGATATGTTTTTCTTAGGGTAGGATGAGGGAAAAGGAGAGAAGGGCAAAGGATGACCCCTTCAAGCATGCTTGGGACAGTAAACCCTAATTTCCTTGTTTCCTAGGATCCTCTTTGCAAGCTCAGTGCTTAACCTGACCGAACTGGCTGCCCTTCGGCCTGACCTTGGGAAATTGAAAAAAATTCTGTACTTCCACGAGAACCAATTGGTATATCCTGTCAAGAAATGTCAGGAGAGGGATTTCCAGTATGGATACAACCAAATTCTTTCATGGTAGGTATAGATTATATCAATATATGTACTCCTTTGCCACCATTTTCTTTATAGATGGTTGGCTTTTAAATCTGGAGACCTACTCTACATTTATTTTAAAAACACCTTAAAGTAGGTGCAAATGTTTAAACATACCTTCTCTGGTAATAATTACTCGTGCCTCTGAAGTATATATATAAGATCACAGCTAATCATTTTATAAAATACGTATATGTAACAATCTAATTATATGTTGAACTAATTTATCTATTTTCTACAACATTCATAATAGAATCAAAGGGTTGATAGGAACCTTCTTCACACCTTTATTCCATCATCTGTTGTTAAAGGCATACTTTCAGAAAAGGGAGGTTAGAAAACTCTTATTTATCAGCCGCTTTCAATGTATCTAGCTAAAATCAAAATAGAAATTTACAGAGGAATAAACGAAAATTAAAGCATAACGGAGCAAGAGGTTTTGTTCTTTTTTTGTTGCTGTTTGTAAGAGAAAACTATGGAAAATGAATCTTTAGGTGGTGGTGGTGGTGGCTTTTTTTTCCGCTCATTGAGTCTTCTGAAATTGCACAGCTTTAAAATACGGTGACATTTCAAAGGTGATGGTCCTTCTCTATTGTTACTTCAACAAAGTGTATCTCCTGAAGCTTGTTAATGAAAGAAGTTAATAACAACTCTGACATGGCTTTTCTGTTAGATCCTAGTCACATAACTGCAACAACCAAATGGAATCAGTTTGGCAGTGATTGGGTACATTTTACTCAACTTTTTAAATAGTTATTAGCAATTCGGATTGATGACATGTCTAAACAGACTCCCAACTCTTGCAAGTATACCCCATAGTTTAGTTGACATAGAAAAACAGCTATATGGTAATAGTTCTGATTTCTGAGCGTCTTGTAAATGCTTTCCTGCCATCATTTTTACAAGCTGCTTCAGTTGTGAAGTAGCAGTGCTATCAAAATAGAGTGGAACGGCTTCACGTCAAATGTCTCATAAAAAAGCAACCGTTTTAAAATTTCATAATAAAATTAAAATACTCTATTTTATATTGAAATGGAGCGGGGAAATATGTTTTAAAAACAAAAATAAAATCATTTTGTGCTTTATCAATATGGAAAACTTTCGTAATATTCTTTTGATTTCTTGAATTAGCATCATTCTTTCCCTCAGATAGTATGTGTTTATTACCCCTGAGAAACAACTGAGGAAAAAAAATTAAGTCTATTTTTCCCTTTATGAGTGGCTTTAAAGTTAAGGGAAGTTATACCCACTCGTATCAAGGAGGAAATGCATGAAAAAGAATATTTCTGTAAACTGTCTTGGGTCTTTAATTTAGCATCGATTGGGTTTTTAAGAATGTAAGCAGTTGGGTTGCATGCCCTATGAGGGCAAATATCTAAAAAAAATTTTAGCTTACTGCCCCTCATCTCTCTTTCATAAAAGATTGTTTTTGCTCGTAGGGAATGAGACTATAAAAGCTCGTACATGATTTTTCAGTATTGCTCTTCTCGAGAGGGTAAAATGATGGACAAGCTTGGAGAGAAAGAAGTGGACTTGTTCATCGGTTGGCTTCTTAATGAGAAAAAAATGGTTCACGGTTGTCCAAAGGAAAAATAAGAGTGTCAGAAAGCAGTTCTGTTCAGATTCTCTTTGAAAAGTATGACTCCTGCTTCCTCAAATGTTTCTTTAGTTTTCTTGCTGACTTCTGCTTTTGTTGGCACTATCAGATTTCTTTCTTGACCATGTGGCAGTTAAGGATTTTACAGATGACTGACATAAGCACTCACCTTAAATAGAGGTTTCACTAAACCCTCTGACTTATGAACACATGTCGTAACTATGTATTATGACCTGTGGGTCGCTATTACAATATGTGACATATGGTGAAAAGAGACTAGCTGTAAAACATCCTTCAACTTTTGGTATATTATTATATTGGCTTCCTTATTGCTTGGTGTTGTGTCAGCACTTCTGTGACATTCTTTTGTATTATCCATGTTGTAATTACCCCTACCCCCAAATTTGCACTAGGTTGCAACTAAAAAAATACTTGTATGGAAAAGCAATTTTGCAGAGGAGGCATAGGGGTAGGAGGTCAACATTCCTTTTGTTGGCTTTTCATTCCAGTATGTATTAATAATAGGCACCTTGACTATCTCAGTAAATGTGAATTAGATTAAACTGAGGATTTGCTATGGCACTCCTATTCTATAAGCTCTGCTTATTCATTTGTGTTTTGCAGTCTTATGCGCTTACATGTCTTCTTTTCAGTTTTATTGATCTATCATAAAACTAACTACTTAGTCTATTTGATCTTGTATACCTTCTTATCAAAGCATTTGTGTGCATTTTATTGAAATCCAGTGACACTGAGATACTGAATCATTGCTTAAAGCAAAGAAGGTCAGTTTTAAACATCAAAACAATGATTTATTAAATCAGTTTTTTGACTCATAAAGGGAATATACTACATATTCATACTACATATTCAAGGTTTATCCAGCTCAGCCATGGCTATCATTTGTGTTCATTGGTTTCCAAGAAAATGTTATAGGCAATTCTGAAAACTGCTGACATATTTATGACACACAAACTTTTCTTATAACTATGTATTTTAGTTTGTTTTTATTTTTAAAAACTACTAAGGGGAGGAACACTGTCTTTTAATCAAAAGCAATAACCAATATTATATTTATGTTGTTAATTCTGAAGGTCTATGGTGTTGTAGTCCTTTATAATACATTCCTTTATGTAATCAATAGGACCTAGTGGTATGGATTTCTGGGTCCCTTTCCACCAATTTCTTCTACGTCTCTGACTACTCCAAATATAATATATTAGTGAAATAAGTTATTTGTAGAGCTCCCATATAACCCTTCCTGTATTGTCCCAGAACTTTAAAAAACCTAACAGTTTCTTGAAGCGAGAGTTAAAACAAGAAATAAGTTTAAGCATGTATTTTGAAGCTGTGCTCTAGTATGAAATAGCTTTATCTGAATTAGTTTCCTTGAAGGTAGTGAAAAGTCAGGCAGGTGTTCTGTACTCAGTAGTGTGGTATAAAATGAGATACATCACTGACATGGAAACCCAACATGGGTAGTTGGGCCACAAAGAAAAAGGTCTTACTGTCCTTATTGCTGTTGATAATACCATATAGAAAGTTCCTGACGTTGTGGCAAAATACACTTTGGTTTGAAGCCTCATAGGATCCCATTAAATAAATCATTTGTTTCCTCTCCTGCCTTTCCTCCCTGATGCCAACAATCTAATTTCCCATAATATAATACTAATGAAACTAACTTATCTATTAGAGGCATTTTGATAAATACTGATGGAAGTGCAGAGTCCTTTGCAAACCCAAGGTGCAGTATAAACTGTGATTAACATAGAGGTCTTAGGCATATAAAAAATAACTAAGCGACTGTGGGCTCATCATTTGCATTTATCCTTTCCCTTTACAGCCTGGTGGCTGATGTGGTGGTATTCAACTCGGTTTTTAATATGGAGTCATTTCTCACTTCTATTGGAAAATTTATGAAGCTGATTCCTGATCACAGACCCAAGGATCTGGAAAGCATCATCAGACCCAAGTGCCAAGTTATTTACTTTCCCATCAGGTTTCCTGATGTGAGCAGGTCAGTATGTTTGACTCCATTTGCAATATTCTGTCATAAATTACTCCCCAACTGTATAGAAATGAGTGTTCTTCTTGCCGATTTTAACTTTTCAGCATGAGCATGGTTGGTTAGAGAGTTGAGTTCTATTTCACTCTACTGTGATTTACAGATTTTAAAAAATCACATGTCCGACCTATCACTGAATGGTTAGTTCTGATATTGAGTTCTTCCTTTCTTTTCTCTTATTTATTGGTTTGCCAAAGCAAGCTGCTTTGGCTTTTAACACTTACTGTTTTGTTTCTTTATTTGTTGTTTTGTTACAGAAGTCACTATCAAGCATATTTCTCAACCTTTTCATTCAGCTTATACCCATTGGTTTATGTGTATAATAGTAACTGTTCTAAGTAAATCGATGTTAAATCTCACTGCTTGGAATACTTTCATTTCCCATGCCATTTTCTTCTATTTTTTTCTTCCATTTTTTATTATTTATATTATCTTAGTAAAGAGTTAGATCTTCTACACTGGGCTGCAAATGCACTTAATTGCCATTTCTCTTTCTCAGTTACTAAGGCCATTTTTTATTACCGTTTTTGCTGGGCCCACCCCAAATTAGCAACAGATGATGTGGCTCAAAGGGAACATTCTAGAATTCCTTTTCACTTTTGATTAAACCTAACAAAATTGTTTTTACTACCACCAGAATATTTCTCCCTTATGAATAGAAAGTTTACTTCAGTGGGACTCATACTAGCTGGGGATGCTACTATTTTGTAACTGACTATGTCCTTAAAAAGAGTTCAGGGACAGCTGTTTCTTCCCCATCCTTGAAATGAAAGCAGGAAACAATTTATTGTCCATACATGCTATGCAGGAGGTCAGAGATAGTCTCTGTGTTCCGGACTCACTGAGTTCACCCAGATATTGCTGTGGGGACAGTAGTCCTCATCTACACCCCTAATGCTGATTTATTTGAGTGTCTTACTAGTTAATATTTCTTGAAGAAAAATCTGCCTAATACCAAATCAAGTTGGTGAGTCATAAAATTTGAGACCACCTTGCCCACTCCTTTATGGAGTTTGGAAAACAGGCCCAGAGAAGCAGAGACTGGCTCACATTCACACTGCTGATTATTGTCATAGACTGGATTAAAGTTTTGATCCTATGACTCTGGATTCAATTTTCTTTTTACTGTCCAAGCTTCCTGCCACTCTAGGTCATTTATCAAAAACATATAATGATTTAGTTGCAGTATTGAAACCTATCAAGCTAAGTGAAACCAAGATCACAATCGATTTTCAGGAATATAGGTAAATATAATATGTATATATACAGTTTTCTTATGTGTGATGAGAATTTCAACTTTTGAAAAATATTGTTATACTTTAGATCTATGATTAGCTAGAACCCAACTTATACTTTAGATTACATTTTTAAAGTATGATCCTTATTTTTTTACGCGTTTTTAAGTTTTTCATATAACATATAGTCAAAATGTACATCTTTAAGGTGAATAGGTGGTTATAGTACAGCTTAATTATTACTCCTATAGAATTTCAAATTTATAATATGTTTTAAAATTCGTTTGCATCTGATATATTCCTACAACATCATATGTTTAATACACCTGTGGCAATTGAATAGTTTATTAATTTAGACTGTATTACCATAAATAAATCTAGCTAAATGGAAGAAAGTTGAGAAATATTGTGGCCAAGATAACATTCATAAGCAAGGTCTTAGCCCAGAGTGTTATTTGAATTATTTTCAAATGGTAATTTGCTTTATCCAGCCTGAACTCATACAGTGTAAGTAAGTGATTTTTTGCATGAATGACAATCATTCTAATGCCTGCAGTCTTAAAAGAGTGTTATTTTGTTGAGATGTTGAAAAATATTTAGTAATTCTAAAGGCAAAATAACCAAGGTGACTTAAAAAAACAATGTTTGAATGCTTATATCTTTCTCCCTACCCAAATATTATTTGGTCACGGCAAAAATGAATTTAAGTAAAAACAAAGCAGAAGATATAACTAAATTATTAATACAATGTGCTATAATAATATATAATATAATATAATGGATACGAATCAGGGAAGGGGAAAAGCCATATTTCAGCAAAATATATAAGGATTTATCAAGTTGGTAACTGTTAAAGCTCAGAGCATGTCTGTCACATAGGAATTCAGTAATATTGGGCTTGAGGCACCTACTGTTACGTATTACCCTCCTCTCCCCTCTGCTGCCTCATTCTCAAAGACCAGAAAAATAGTAGCAAGAAAAAATATTCACTTGAAAATATTTTATTATATGTATTAAACATTTTGGGATGGGAAACCTGTTAAACCCTGAGTCTTGACCACCACTTACTAGCTCTGTGACCTGTGCAAGTATAATGACCCTGAGCTTAGGTTCTTTAAAGGTTATGATTATATTTAGCTTATCACCTCATAGGCATGATGTAGAGACTAAATGAAATAATGCATGCCAAATGCCTAGCATGGTGCCTGGCACATAATAGACCCGCTAATAAAGATTAACTCATCTTTTAACTCCTCCATCCCCATTGTTTTGTAACCTAGCACATTTATTCCCACCTAAATATAAAGGACTGTCTTCCTCTCTGCCCTCTTTTAATCAACACATAACAATAAAGAAGTACTTTGCCAAAGAGCAGCCTAATATAAAGAGATATGTTTATTTATTCTCTTTATCACCCTGACTCAAACAGTCTTTTGCCCTTGCCAGAACCTACCATCCATGGATTGAGCCAGCTCTTCACTTTCGTTCTTCTCTTGCCCTAATTTCCTCTTTCTTTCTCCAGCTTAACTTCCATCTTCTATCATCATACATACTCTCTTGCATATACTCTCAAATATTTTGCACCTTTTCCTTCATATTTGATTAGGAGAAAAACATCTGGCCATATTATTAGCCTACTCTGAATTCATGACTCCTAAATTCTGATGGACCTTTGAGCTGTGTGGCAAGCATACCACATTTCCCCTCTTCTACACAACTAATCATGCATTTTCCTTTCTTTATAAACTTCTAATACCAAATTTTCTATCTTCATTCTCAGATTATGACTGAGAAAATGGAAGCAACCAGAAGAGAATTTCTATACGCTGCCACCGCCACGTCTACCCAGTTATGTGCTTCTGGGTGCATATTCTCTATCTTCACACCTGTTACTATGGATGAATTGACTTTGCTTCTGTTTAAGGCCCGATCTCCACTTCTTTGCCAGAAGCCCATCCTTCTTGCATACCTAAGGACTATTGTTCTAGCAGTTTTTCCTTCCCTGTTCTGCATTATCAGTTTTTCTCTCTTCTGGATCATTCTTATTAGCATACAAAAAATGCTATTTGTTTTACATCTTTTTTTTTTTGTTTTTTGTTTTTTTGTGAGGAAGATCAACCCTGAGCTAACATCCGCGCTAATCCTCCTCTTTTTGCTGAGGAAGACTGGCTCTGAGCTAACATCTATTGCCAATCCTCCTCCTTTTTTTCCCCAAAGCCCCAGTAGATAGTTGTGTGTCATAGTTGCACATCCTTCTAGTTGCTGCATGTGGGACACGGCCTCAGCATGGCCGGACGAGCGGTGCGTCGGTGCGCGCCCAGATCAGAACCTGGGCCACCAGTAGCGGAGCGTGCGCACTTAACCGCTAAGCCACGGGGCCGGCCCTGTTTTACATCTTTAAAAAAAATTCTCTCCTGATTGCACTTCTCCTTTCTGCTACTGCCACATTTCTTTCTTTCTCTTAGTAGCAAAACCTCTTGAAAGAGTTGTTTATACTTGTTTCCAGTTTCATTGCTACTGTTCTGTCTTAAAACTACTCCACTGAAACCATTTTTTGTCAAGGTCACCAATGACTTCCATGCCTCAAAATCCTGTGGTCAATTCTCAGTCTTCATCTTACTAACATATCAGCAGCATTTGACACACTATGACACATTCTTCAGTTGGCTTCCAGGACACACAGGTTGCTGCTTCTCAGGCCTCTTGCTGGTTTCTCGTCATTACCCTGACCTTTAACTTTGGACTGGCGTTTGGCGCTCTTAACACTTAAGGGGTTGGTGGAGGAATAGCCCAGGATTGAAATGAGAAGAAAAGATAAAAGGGTCAGGAGGTCAACAATGAGAGAATTATACTGTGGAACAAAGAGAAAAGAGTTTTAAGGAGATAATCAGTAGTGAATTCAGAGGAGTGAGGTTAAATAAAGTGATGACTAAAACGTATCCTTGAATTTGACAATTAAAGGGTCAGTGGTACCCCACCCTGCATTCTGTTAACTCACAGAAAAGTTTCATATGTTCTTTCTGGTAGCCAGAAAAACTTAGGATTCAAGTCTGGATGACATCTCTTTCTCTTTCGGTCTCTCTGTCTCTTTGTCAGTCTCTCTCTCTCTCACACACACGTGCGCCCACACACACACACACGCGCGCGCGCGCACACACAGAGCTCCTCATTTTATGGATGAAGGCATCAAGGCCCAGAGAAGTTAAGTGTCTTCTGGTAATCACACAGCTAGATATAGACCAAGCAGGAACTGGAACTCATATCTCAAAATCTCCAGCCAGTGCTCAGCCCACCACTTATTGTAAATGCAGTTGCAGAGGTCTTGATTATCTGATTTTTCAGCTGACAGCAGATTAGCAGCATCAAATTGGGGGTGTGATAAAGGCAGGCTCACTGACAGCAGTAAAAAGTGACAGCTGACTGACAGCTTGACAACAAGAGAGGAGAGAGATAAACTATTAAAAAAATATATGAGAAGTGAAAAAGCATGGCAGCCTGGAGCCGTTCTGTGGCAGGGCAGGCAACTCTGCACGTTGAAGAACGCTTGCAGACATTTCTCCGTTATTGTACAGCTTGTACGTCAAAAGGATGACTGTGATTTATTAAGAGAAATTAAATAGTAGCCAGTAAATTCTGTTTAAGAATATAGGGAAATGCATAACCCACTTTTGGCAGAAATTATAAATGACAGCAAATGAAGGTAAACATCATGCCTTA